GCAGCTCCTTGCAGGCTGAAACTCTTCCAGCCTGCAAGGGAAAACCCACAGCTTGTCACATTTTTCTCTTAAACAAGAATCCAGTTTTAAAGTTTGTTGATTCATTTTTAAAGTGCATTTGCAACCCTTTCATATATTCTTGTGACCCACAGGTTGAGACACGCTGGACTAGATGACCTGCTTAGATCCCTTCCAACCCTCATTATCTATGATTCTGCAACATGCCTCTATAGTGTAACACAAATGCTTTATTCCCCCACTCCCTTCCCCTGCTTAAATCCAACCTTTGTTTGCTAAAACAGGCTGCTCCTGGGACCTCCATGAGCATGATCTAGCAGTTTAATCACAAATGTGCCTTTCTGGAGCTGGTAAATAAAAGAAATCTGGGGAAGCAAAAAAACAAAACCGACCCGTGGCTTCTAATTTCATGCATGTCTAAAGGCTGGGCAATAATTAAGTGACAACGTCAAGGGACTTCTTTGGATTTTAAAGCACATTTTTAAAATACTTACAGCACGGCCTTGTGAGGCACGGGGTTTAACAAACCTACAGCCAAGCTGGTTTGCCTCTGAGACCCTTCCACTCGCAGGCTGGGGCAACAGACCTCATGAGGTACCAACTGGGGCACTTTTGTGGCTGGCTGGGAAAGAGTAAAAAGCCAAGGCTGTCTGTGGGCTCCTGGTGCCCTAGGATCAGAGCAGAGCCCGGCTGGAAGGGCTTTTGGAAGGTCACATCGCCCCAGCATTTCCAGGTCTTAAATATTGTATTGGAAGCTCAAAATTAGTAACATTTGTTGGAAAAAAACCTGTCACACTGAAAAATATGCAGAGCAGCATTTAAACAAGCATGAAAACAAGCCTCCTTTATATTGTATTATTTATATTATATTTATGTACAATATACATTTCTAAATGTATAAAATCTCTGGTGAGCGAGAACTGCACCATCTAAGTTGAAGCCTTCCTTTATTTGGAGGCGGAGGGTGTCCTAGGATCAGAGCACAGCGGGGCTGGAAGGGCCCTCAGGCGGTCACTTCCCCCCAAGCGTTGCCAGGTCTTGTTATATGAAATTATCGTATTGGAAGCTCATAATTGTCATATTTGCTAAAAAAACTCCCCCAATAAACCAAACAACCCCAAAGCTTTCATACACTGAAAAAAATATGCCAAGCAGCATGCAAATAACCCTTCTTAGCTAGTTTATATTGCTCGCTAGGGCTGAGCCAGAGCTGGAGCGTCCAAGCCGAAGCCTCCCTCTGTTTGGGGGCGGCGGGGAGGGCTCGGGGCCGCAGCGGGAGGAGGAGCAGCGGCGAGAAACGAAACGTGGGGCCGTGTTTAGGGCTGCTGTGACTTGTAGTCCGCCCGCCCGCAGGACTACAGCTCCCGGCAGCGGGGCGGGGCGGGCGCACATGGCCTCTCCCCTTTGTTTCCCGCCCCGCAGGCAGGGCTCCGCTCC